ACAATCTGAAAAATATATATATATATATATATATATATATATATATATATATCATGTGACCTTCTTCTCTCCGTCTCTCTCATTAGTGGCAGCAGTAGGAGGCATCATGATAGTGATGACGCAGATAGCCACAGGAAACACAGGCACAAACGCTCTAGACACAACCGAGGAAGCCTTGAGCCCAGCGAGGAGTGCAATGTGGACCAGGAGAACCAGTCAGAGGCCACAGAATAACTCCCTGGCCAGCTGGTGAGCCCGTTTGTTTACCAGTAGGAGGTCTTTAGTGAAAGATCATTAGTCTCGTCACCAGTCAGAGCATGAGTAAACAACTGTGAATAGATTTTGATTAATCGTATGCCAAACACACTTGATAAGCCAATTTATGGTACCGTTTTAGCAATTTAACATTACATTTTTTAAAAATATGATTTAAAAAAGTAAAATGTGGTCAAAAGAGTACACTATTTTTAATTTAGAAATTTATTTATTCATTATTTAAAATTACTTTGTTTTGGTAATACAAAATGGTATTTTTGTTGTGCCAAATGTTAATTTTGTTGAAGCAAAATCATTATAAACATGATCAAGAAATGTAAATGTGTGTGAACCATGATTTAGTGTGGGGAAAGAAGAAAGAAATTAATACATTTATTCAGCAAAGATGCATTAAAGTCATCAAAACTGACAGTAAAGACATTTATAATCCTAAAAAAGATTTATATTTCAAATAAATGCTGTTGTTTTGAACTTTCTATTCATCAAAGTATCCTGGAAAAAAAAAAGCTTTTCTCAACAATATTATGCAGCACAAATGTTTTCAACATATATAATATAATTATATAATTATAATAATCAGAAAGCTTGAGCACCAAATCAGCATATTAGAATGATTTCTGAAGGATCATGTGATACTGAAGACTGGAGTAATGAATGTTGAAAATTCAGCTTTGCAATCACAAAAATAAATGACATTTTAAAATCTATTCAAATAGAAAGTTCCTTAAAACACAAAATACAATAAAACAATAATATTGTTAAATATTATTACAAACAACAGCCTCTGTGAACCTCTTTCAAAACAAAAATCCTGCCGACCCAAAACTGAATGGTAGTGTGTGTTTTTGTGTGTGTGTGTGTGTGTGTATATATATATATATATATATATTTATATACACACACATTGCACAATAAGAACACGAGACAGTAACAAAAATCTCCTTGTAGAATGACTTTATTGATCATTGAACCAAAGGTACCAACAGATACAATATACTGCACAAGCCAAAGCATGAGATGCCAGAGCACGCACCTTACTCCACAATGATACCTACACACACACACACACACACACACTCACACAGTGAGCTTTTCACACACCACTCTGTCCTATCCTTTCACCTCCAAAGTAAACAAAAAAAAAAGTCAGCAAGGCCGCCAAAATCTCACGTTATCATTATAAGCATTATAAGTTATCATCCATTTTTAAAATAGATTATTAACATTGCTTTTCTTTTTTTCAGTTGCTATTCTTTTTTATTACTCGCTATAATTTATTTTCATATGCGACAGCCTCTGAAACGTACCAACATGGATAGAACTACTTGGCAAATGTGTCTCCATGCCAGCGGATGGAGAGAACGAACCACTGTCAGAACGAACAAAACGAAGCCAATATCCGAAAGCCATAGGAACAGAGAGAAATAAACCAAAATTAGTATTAGTCATAGTACAAGTGCTTGAATCCGTTTCGTTATTTTTTCAGACATCGACGTTTATAGTAAAGAATGTGCGTCCACTTCGATGAATTTTCTAACATGTAAAACTAATGGAATTGGCATCGAGTGTCCCCCACCCAAACCCAACACATCCCAGTATCCCTTTCACCTCTCGTTCGAAGGAAACCCCTCTTATGTGCAGCATCTCAACGTCCTCTACGAACAACAATAGAGTCACACAATCTGACTATATATAGCACAGTGCCCATAATGTTTATACATCTATTTCCGACTCATTTATTGACTGACGCGCTCCTCGTTGCATCCTGAAATTGTGTTTTTAGACTCTCCCAAGTCCTTTAATACAGATTAAAAGCTCCGCCTTCCATCTGTAATGACACAATGTTCCTCTCATGCACACATATCATCTTTATGCCTTGACAAAAGGGCAATTGTGAAAGCTCCTCCTGGTTTTGGAGTGTGATAAACGTGCTTCTTCGTGGGCGGAGTCATGTCATTAGCTCCGCCTTCAAGTTTAGAGTCTGAGCTCCGATTACCTGAATGAGGTCCATGTGTCATTTCCTGCTCCCGGAGGGCAGTCCGTATCATAAGCCCCACCTTTCAAGGAAGTCTCGGATTCTCAAATCCACCATTTTATTTGTCATTAAAAGGTCTGTAGTGTAAGCTCCACCCCCTAGTCCAGGGTCAATGTGATAAGCCCCTCCCACATGCAGAGCAGTCCTATAGCAGGCTTCCAGGCCAAGAAACGATGGTGAGAGTGATCCGACCCCTCAGCTCCTTGAGCAGGCGGACTAGAGCCGTGTGTGTCATTCCCCAAGTGCTCTTCCCGTTCACCTCCAGCAGGATGTCTCCACAGCTAATGGGAAAAAAACAAAAGGGATGAAGTTTTAGTATGTTGGAGTCATGACAAGAATGAGGGTAAATACAAAAAAGTTGTATTTAATAAACTGTGCTAGGCAGTTTATTTATAGGTGTTCTACATAAAGCATAGTTTCCGACAATAGTAGATTCTACATATTCCAGGTGTCCGTACCGTATCCTGCCGTCGTTGTAGGCCGGTGTGCCCTCTACGATAGAGCGGATAAAGAAGGACTGGTTACAGTTGAGTTCTTCTTGTCCACCCACAATACTGAAACCCAGACTGCCAGATGTGCTCCTACGGAGGACAATGTCTTTACAGCAATATAGATGCCTGGAATGGACAGAAAAGTCAAGGTTAATTTTATTGTCATTCAGCAGACATACATAAATCAACAAATTATTCACCAAGGGCACTTAAAGGGATAGTTCACCCAGACTTGAAACGATGCACTTTTATTGCAACTTTTTTTGAATGGTAACTGATTGGAAGTTTTTGGCATTTTTGACTTTATTATGATAGGCCAGTGTAGAGGAGAGAGGAAGCAAAGTGGGAGAGAGGGAGTGGGGCAGGATCGGGAAAAGTCCTTGAACCGGGATTCCAACTCGGGCCGCCGGTAGCATAATGGCACGATATGTCGGCACAGGGCACTTAAAGGGATAGTTCACCCAGACTTGAAACGATGCACTTTTATTGCAACTTTTTTTGAATGGTAACTGATTGGAAGTAAATGGTGACTGATTGGTGTTGTCATGGTGTATTGGAACAAAATGAGGGTAAATATTAATAGAATTTCTGTTAACATTTTACATTTAGGTGTAATTCGTTAACATTAGCTAAATCATTAGGTATCACTGTATAGACAATACGTTTACATCATTTAATAAGCTTTGTTAATGTTAATTTCAGCATATACAG